TCTGGTTCATGCTCAAAGAGATGCTGTGTAGGGTCAGATCTATAATCCAGATTCTGGAGTAGACTCAGAAAAGATAAAAACATTGGATTATTGTTTGGGTCCCACAGACAAAAATGATTGATTTTTATTATGGGGTTTTGAGTGGGGAAGAGAGAGCAGTAAGCGAAGCTGGCCAGCGTAAGCCAGCCAGCCAGCCACTGTCAGTGACAGATTAGCTAAGAGCTAGAGCAGAGGCCCATTTATTTAGGGTCTAGAAGGGAAAACGGTGTATTAGCCAGAGAAGGGGGGTGGGAGATGCGATGTTTGAAAGGGCTGCAGTGAGAGCCCGAAAACCAAGCTGTGAGACCCAGAAAGGATGGCAAGTCGCAATGCCTTCTCCCAATACAAGCTCAGAGAGCCCAGAATTTTCCTCAAAAGGTCAATCAGTCCAGCCTTAAGGGGAACTCACATTCCACCCTAAACTGTGTGAGGGTCTAAGGGTAGACCTAGGTTTCTGCAACTCGAAGGCTGTTTACGGTTTAGTTCTCCTTCCCAGAATAAGGTCACCTAGCACTTGGTTGTTTTTTTTTTTGGTCAGTCGTGGGGCTTGAACTCTGGGCCTGGGCGCTGTCCCTCAGCTCTTCAGCTCAAGGCGAGCGCTCTACCACTGGAGCCACAGCGCCACTTCTGGTTTTCTGGTGGTTTATTGGAGATAAGTCTCACGGACTTTCCCCGACGACTGCACGGTGGGCTACATCGTGGAGGGGCTGCTGGGCGCCCGCCTGCTGCACAGCCCCCTCTTCCACTCGCACCTGGAGAACCTGCAGCGGCTGCCGCCCGAAGCCGTGCTCCAGCAGGTGGGCCCAGCGGCCAGGACGGGTCTGCGGGGGTCCCGCAGGAAGCGCCCCGTGTTCCCGTGCTCTGACCTCACGCTCCCCCCCAGGTCACCCTGAGCTATGGGGGCCCTGAGAACCCGCAGAACGTGGTGAGTGTAGCGGGGAGCTTCAGCCTGCAGCAGGACCCCACACGGTGCGTGG